TGTGTGTGTGTGTGTGTGTAGGGAGCTGGAGAAGTGCAAATGGAACACAGCAGACCTCTGAAAAAAAAGAGTGCTTTTAAACCCACTGCTGCTCCAAAATCCCCTCATTTCTTCTTTGAGTGTTCTTAAGTGTATCCACATGTATGTATTTTTGTCTTTATAAGTGCCCATTTAGTACATGCATCTGCTAAAGTATAAAAGTTTGCAAATTTGTATAAAACCATCTGCAACTTTTATCCCCTGCCAGAACGTGTGCTATTGTAGATCAAGCTTTAACAAACAGAATTTAAAATCAACTTCCCCTCTGAGGCTGGATAGCATGCCAGAAAAGTAAAGAGTTATTATGCAAATCCCTTAAATTGAACGTCTTTGTTTTTGGGAAGAGAGAGAACAAGAGAGTGATCTTTTGAAGAGATGAAAAGCAGTATTCTAATTGATCTTTCAAGATACAGACAATGCGGGAGACTTTTATCATTATTTCATTTTTGGGAATTAATCATTCTCCATAGGTTTAATGTGTGTTTTTAAATATGGCTTGTGTGCATACCTTTGTGCGTGAGAATCAAGCACATCGTTTCCATAATGGCACTTTAAACAAGGTCCTTTCAGGTGCATCTGTCTATGCGGCCATCATGTTTCCATGTTTTTTTCCCTAAATTATACTTACACGTTATCATATTTGAAGGGGGAAATTGACCCCGTACAGGTGTCTGTATCGTTGACCGCAGACTGTTTAGAGTCTTGTTGATGATGATTGCAGGTAATCTGCCTACGTGGAGCAACATGGTGCCAGCGTTGCATCTAATTATACTGTTTGGGAACAGACTAGCAGAGAGAGTGGAAAGAGAGGGAACAAAGAGCCATTGAAAGATATTATTTATAGCTAATTGCTAACTGTTAGATGAGTGGCTGGTACTCAAGTAGAGAGGCTGTGATTGGAAGAAGAGTGCTTGGCTCTCAAGGATAGTTTGAGGTTGATTTGTCTCGACTAATCATGCCATAAATTAGAATATTTCGAGAATGTTTTTGTATTATTTATTTGGTAAGAATAATTCTGGAAGCGTTGTTAGGCCTGCAGACTTTTTGGGGTCGGACCCACTTTACATTTTACTTCTCAATAAAGTGGTTTAAAGCAATAATTTGGAAATCTTTACCTGCTTTTTTTGGATGATATTGATAGCATCTCATGTTGTCAGCTAAATATGATTTTTAATAATATGCCATTAGCTGAAAAAGATGAAGACTGAAAACACAGTAAGTAAGCTAGAAAACAAAAGTGTAGCTAGCTACTTCCCCATGTTTCCAGCATTTGTGCTAAGCTAACAGGTTTATAACTCTAGCTATAGCATTACTGAACAGACAAGACCTGTCAAGATGTCAGATTGTTACTACATGGTAATTGCAGTCAAAAATATTCAGAGTTACGTAATTAAATCGTTATTGAACAGAAAAATAACAATATGATTTAGCGAGGCAGTAGTAGCCACACAATGTGGTAGCTAGCTAGTTACTGCTTCACTTTATCATCACTTAAGGTGTGTGTTGGGAGACAAACAGAAACTGCAGAAAAAAGAAAAAAACAGGCATTATTAGAAGAATTATCGACAATATAATCATATTTGTACCGTTAAAATATTATATTTCCTAGTAACTCTGTGAGTACAGTCTTACCCTAAATAACGGAAACTGGCTAACAGCTAAGCTGGAAATAGGCTATCCTTAAATGTTGCTGTTTTTGGGACCTTTGCAGTTTTAGACCTCACATGTAGTTGTTTTAGTGTCACAACAACAGTTACTTATTCATTTCTTTCTGTCTTTGTGTCCCACAGGTACTACAGCGCCACAATCCTGCAGATGTCAGGAATTCGAGACGACCGGCTGGCGATCTGGCTGGCTGGGCTCGCCACCCTCACTAACTTCCTGTTTACCCTGCTGGGAGTGTGGCTGGTGGAGAGGGTGGGGCGCAGGAAGCTCACCTTGGGCAGTATCATAGGTAATTCCCTCATAAGCCCACATTAGGTAATTAGGGATGTCTGCCAGTCATGTTTGTATGTAACATCTTTATTGTTTTTCCGACAGGTACATGTTTAAGCTTGAGTCTGCTGGCCATTGGTTTTCTGATGTCTGCCCAGCACAGTCCTCCTGTCACCTTTCACCCATTGGACCCTATGGCCAACTCTACCTGCTCCAAGTACCAGTGAGTATACCCACAGTTCACTTCAAAATTCAACCAGCTACACTGTTAATGGAAACCGGCTCCTCTCTTAAAAACACCTGTCATCTCCATTTATTACAAGCTAATTCAAATTGATTAGTTAAAGCCTGAAATTACTCCCACTGCTACTTGCCATCCCAGAGATATAAAGTTAAATTGAGCTTTACAATTTTCAGACATGAAAACAACTCAATAAGCAGGTGTCCAATGAGGATTGAGTAGCACACATGTTACAAATTAGATCATTTTAGGAATGTGTGTGTGATTCAAAGAGTATTCTCTCCACCAGCTCTTCACTGGAGTTAATATAAAGTGTGATTGTGACATTATGCACAGGTCTAGATGGAAATAGGGAGCTATGGCAAGACCGCTATTCACCCCAGCGCACTTCTGGTCTTTGTAAAAGCACTCAATAATTTGCAGGGTCACAACATCAACCCAGAGTGCAGGAGAGCACACTCACTGGTGGAGAGCTTCAGAGAATGAAACCCAATGAAATCACAAAGGACACTTGCTGTTAACTTATTGCAAGTTTTGACATGCAGATCTTTTAGGGTAAAGTTTGTGGCTGGCTAAGACACAGTATGTGCCGATTAGGAAGATCAATTTATATCACAAGGTTTGTATATTAGATGAGATCAGGCCTGAGTCATATTATTTATCAGGGATTTACTAGTTCAAACAAATAAAACGGTGGGCTGGAAACAATACTGTCAAGATTCTGAGTAAATATTGTAAGTAAAACTCTATAAAGTAATCTCCCGATGCTTGGATCAGCTGCAATACACTTCATTGTTGTCATTAGCAACAAAAGGCAAACACACAAAGCACAGAGAGTGTTTTCGTGTAAGCCAGAGATCCGATGCCTCCGTGTCCCAATTTACTCTCACTTACTCGGACACAAGATGAAACTCATGTGTAACGACGGCCTTTCATCACAACAACAAACAACGCCTAATGGACTCGCTGTCCGGCACCCACACGCTGTAACACACACACACACACACGGAGGTAATTTGAAGAGATGAGTGCTTTTACCACACTGTAGTGGCTTCATTGAGTTCACTTTACTCCACATGAGCCCACACGTGCCCTCGCTCACCACGGCTGAATCTAGGACCACCAGAGACACTCACCAGTGGATCAGACACCTGATTTAAGGATGTATTCAAAAGGTGTTTGGGGTAGGATTTGACGATAGCTTACTAGCCTGGAATGACACAGGCATTTAGATGTTTTTCCTTTTAAATAAATAATTCTACATTCTCAATGCTATCTTCGTTGCTTTTGCTATTTCTATCTATTTCATTTTTAGTTTAGCATAGCACATTCAGTAAATAGGTCCTTGAAAATGGAGAACTACATACGTATGTTTTGCTTAAAGATAAAGGGTAAATCCAGCTGTCGGTCATCACGAGGTAATACATGTAGACGTGGAAGACATAAAAATGAAGAAGCATTGTTCTTGTTTTATATTGTAGAGCTAAATCTTCCCAAATCTAATTTAAAGCTGCTTTGGTATCATTTTGTACAGGGCAGCTTAAATCTGTGCAGATAAACAGTGCTTAATCCATCCCTTTGCGCACATTAGATGTTAGCCAAAGGGAAAACTATATAGCTTTATTCATTTATAAAAGACCAATATTATACACATGCTCTAATTGCATCCTATAAATCTAGGCTGAGTTGCTGCATGTCTCTCCTCACCTTCCCTCTCTATTCTTGCCTCTGGTACTAACACATGGTATGATTTTCGTTTGGTTGACCTCAGTGTGAAATAAGAGCAAGGTGCCCTGCACACAGGGAGGCTCCAGCCTGTAAAAATAGACCTGTGAAACAAACACACATTTCGTGCTCTTCCATTAGCAACAACAAACTGTTATAAAAACATAGTGTCCCTTGTGAAGAAGGTGTTTGCTTCTTACATGTGGATTGCTTTAAATAGACTAGCAGAGGGGTAAAGATGTAAGGATAGTGAATCCAACAGTATTTTGCATTTAATGAAGATTCATCACTTCCTGCAGTCCTTTTTTAACTTCATTTGTGTAATGAGGCAAGTCTCAATTCAAGTCTCAATTCAAGTCTCGATTAAAGCGGTTGAAGACCTTTTCTATAAGCCCACTTTGTGAAGTAGAACAGGCCAATAAGTGGTTTTTAGTTGGACTGCAACTCAATACTTGGAAAATATGTATGCGAATGGATTCATTGATTGACCGTGTTCAGGGTAGTTAAAGTTGGCGTGTTTGGTTTGCAGGCTGTGTGAGCCATGCATGCTGGACCCTGGATGTGGGTTCTGTTACCGTGAGAACGTCTCAGCGCTCCTCACCTCCTCCTGCGTGGCTGTCAATAAGGCCTCCACGGAGCACGCAGCATGGGGCAGGTGAGTCACAGGATGCCGAGGATGGAGTGTGTGCGTGTGTGAAGAACGTCTGCATTATTTATATATTTAATGTTTTGGTTGAATGTGAAATACTAACTGTTTCTTCCTCTTCCAGATGCTCCAACTCCAGCCTGATGAGAGATCAGACTTACTGGGCCTACAACTACTGCCCCACCTCCTACTCCTGGCTGGTGTTGCTGGGTCTGATGTGCTACCTGGCTGCTTTCGCACCAGGTAATAAATTGAACCTGTGATTGAGGTTCACTACACTGTATGTGGTCCGACTGCTATGTTTACTTGCATTCTTCTTCAGATATCTTTATGGAAAGGCCCCACAGAGAATCTTTTCTTTACATTTTCCTTTATCCTCTTTGTAACAAGTCACATGACCTTCACCAAGCAAAAGCGTTTTATATCTCAGTGGGGTACCCAGTGCCAAAAAACAAGCACTTTTAGAGGACGTACATTGAGTCCAATGAAATTGTACAATGATTACATAATTTTGCAGGCCAACCCGGAACTTAGCGTTCAAAATACATGACGGTTGCAGCCCTAAGCTAAAGGCGGCCTATTTTCACCGTGATGATGTTTACTACTCTTTTTTAGCCACTTGTTATCAACCACCAAGCTCAGACGTCCATCAGTGCGGTTTAAACTGATGCATTTTATGTTGTGAAAAACCTTGAAAACCTCGTATAAGTTTATTGACCTTATTTCGGCAAACTAACCAGAAACTCAATTCAAAGATGTTGACTGATAAGGGATCTCCGAAGTGCTAAAATGCTTACTCATTTCCAGGTTGAGGACTGCACCACTCAATAGCCCAGTTGTAGCTACTAAACTTTCCATAGAGCCTTAACCTAACCCTGTAAACGTGTCTCTCTTTTAGGGATGGGCCCGATGCCATGGACCATCAACTCAGAGATCTACCCTCTGTGGGCGAGGAGCACGGGGAACGCCTGCGCAGCCGGGGTCAACTGGACCTTCAACATCCTGGTGTCTCTCACCTTCCTCCACCTGGCTCAGTACTTCACATACTATGGTCAGTTGCTCACCTGCAGAATTGTGAACAAACCATTTACATTTAGACTGAGCTCATGTCATTTCAATCATACTTAACAGTCCATCCATGAACACCTTCAAACCTCATCCAACTCTATCAATCCTTATGCAAGCCTCTCAGCAGATCTTGTGTAGCACCCATACCATACATCCTCCCCTCCCATCAAAAGCAGCATGTCGGTGACCCCGCTGATTGATACCCCGATGTGTTCCCAACCTTTTTCTTCGACGACACCTCCTCAGTCAATGTGGCTCAACAACAGCATGTGGCCCTCTCCAACGGGAAGGAACTGACCTTTGGTGGAGCAGGACATCGATCCATCAGGGGTGATTGTAGAGGCATCCCGAGATGCAGCGGGTTAACGGTCGATTTGATTTGTTAACAAAGAATTGTGAACAGTGTCAAAGCTGAGGAAAATAATGCCTTATCCATTTAAACGGTATTTAGCATAAAGCACTACTCAAAATGTATTTCTGCTTTGACAAGGGGAAAAAGAGATAACAGCGTTCAGGAAATCTCATTAACCTCTGTCACTGTGTCGCTATGAATACTTCCATATTGACATGTATGGAGAATCGTTAAGGAAACAGCAGCATATTTAAACACTTTCGTTTATGAGCTCACACATCTCCATATTAATTGTGAGCCTTCAAATGGTAGCTGCCCCACACTGTCACCTCCAGTGTTTCTTCTTCTGTGGCTGAATAAAAACACGTCTCCAGGAAGCTGAACAGTGAGTTCCTTTTGTCTGTGATTGACGGTGAGTTATTTTGTCTTTATCTCCCCAGGAGCGTTCTTCCTCTACTCCAGCATGGCTTTGCTGGGTTTCTTCTTCATCTACGGCTGCCTGCCGGAGACCAAAGGCCGGCGTCTGGAGGAGATCGAAGCGCTGTTCGAAAACCAGCTCTGTTCCTGCGGCGCCTCGGACTCGGACGAGGCACGACAGGTGGAGTACATCCGAGTCAAAGGTTCAAACTACCATCTATCGGACAACGACGCGTCTGACGTGGACTAGCGAGAGTTAGGCTGTTTCTTTTGCTTTGTTTATTTCTAAAACATGCAACTTGTAATGTAATATTTGACTGTTTGTGTGTGTGCGAGCTGAGGAGCCACTGGTTACCCGTCAATATGAGGTGAAGAATCACAGTTTCAATGAGAAAGATGAGGGTGAACTGACACAACATCAGGTGTCAAACCCACTTATATCTGAATTCCCTAAAGTTTAAACACTGCCTTTTCCGCACATAACTTGGACAGGAAACATGCATTTAGAAAATAAAAGGGACACTTCCTCTGTTATGAAGTCCACCGAAAAGAGGCTGCAGCTCAGTATCGTACGATGTTCCTAATATTTTGTACATTTGTTGACTAAATGTCATTTATGATTAATGTACGTACAGTATACAACACAGCAATCCTACAGCATTATTTCAGTTTCCGTTGAGAATCCATTTAAAGAGTTCCAGTAAACGTGGTCTTTTGTTGACATGACAGCAGTTGTGACCTATTGTAGATCTATAGTACCATTATGCCTTTCTATATGGAACACATCTCAGTTACATGTTGTGTTAGCTTGTAGCATAGCACACTTATGTCAGCTCCTGATGATAGTCTGTGCTTTGAATATTTTTTTATAAAAAAAGCAAACACCAGAGATGTACAGTATATATTGTCAGTCGGTGCCTAAACAAAACCACTCACCAATCTAGTAGCACTGAAATGAATACAAATTCTGTTGCTATAGTTAATATTTATTATTTTGTATTACTTTAGCATACTAGTATTTTTTAAGTTTCAGGCCGGCAATCCTGTTGCTACCCTGAATTTAAAATGATATTTAACAAAACATGACTATGTCTCCATGTTATAAACCTAAGTATTAAACATGTATTGTCCAGCAAAGGAAGTGGTAGACTTTATGTTTGAGACTTTACGTGTATCTTTATTTATTTATGCTAAACATGATAATATTAGTGCCTGTGTATTGTGGAGGTCCCTGGACGTCCAAACCCCTGAAGTGGATGTAATATTTCAAGTTGTTGTAATTATTTATTTATTTGGCGTGTACATATTAGCATTTCACGTGTGATGAAATGTTTTGTTTTGTAATCATTTCATGTTTTTTTTGTCTTCCTCCATAGCCTAATGTACAAATCATGTTCGTTATTCTCGTGTCAGAAGTCAAAGCTTTAGCGTAACTTGCAAATGTTGCTTTGTAGAAAAGTGTAAAATGGTGTTAGTCAAATACACGTAGGTTTCTGTGTAGCAACAGCTGTTTAAACTTTAGACTACAGAGTGACTTTGTGAAACTAAATACGTTAATAAGTACGCTGTGAAGGACAGTCTATTATTTTTGACACGGCGGTCCAAACCCATCACGGATTAATAAAATATAAAACCTCTTTTTAATAGACTTTTCAAATATGAAGCTGGTTATCAAATATCATCAAAGTTGAATGTTAATTATTTTTAGTATTGTCACATTAACAGATGGAAAACGATTAATCAGTATAGAGGAATTAAAATGGCTAACGTTTTATAATGTGAAAGTATTAGTGTTTTATTTAGATTTTCTGTGTGCAGGATGAGTTGTCTTAAAACCACACAAGCTAGTTTTGTACTGAAAGTATTAAAACACACACACACACACACACACACACACACACACACACACACACACACACACACACACACACACACACACACACACACACACACACACATTGTGTAATTAAACAATTTAACTTGTGTTAAACAAATATTTAGCGTGGTTGTTTCTGCTGTTACCACTCTCCTCTAGGGGAGATTTAATGTGTACTTCTTTGCAATTTTTTTCTATGTGAACCAACCATGTGTGTTTCTACAGTTTACGAGGAACTACAAAAATACCAATTAAAAAAAACAAACAAGTGCTGTATAGTATATTATTGATTATTGTTCAAGCTGTAAATGTTTTGCTAGAGTTTATATTCTATAAAAGATGAGTATCTTCATGAAACACTGGAATATGTATAAAGGGACGGAAATAAACGTATGAATCAGAGTAACGCCTTGGGGCTTTATTTCACAATGCGTCTTAGAACAAACACTGAATACGCTTAAATAAACTGTTAACGCTCTTGAATAAATGCACAGAACAGGCATGTTTTCTTTCTGCTTTCAGGCATCTACATGACTTCTTTCCTCTGTCTGAGCAGGAGCAGTATGTCCGCTATTTCCTGAAGTGTCTCTGCTTCTTCTGAGAGTCTGTTAGCCCTGCTGGCAGATATGACCTCCTCCCTCGCTTCATTAGAGATCCTTCACCAGGCGGCCATTTTCCTGTCGCTCTCCCTCATCCCTGCCCTTACCTGAATCAGAAACAAGAGGAGAAAAACGTTCATTTCTGTCTTGTTCAGTGGAATGTAAATAATAAGAAATGTATATAAATCAAAAGGTCTACATTCTGACATTGTACCTCTGCCATCTGTCACGCTGAGAGCATCTAGAAAATGTGTCTGTAGGATCACTTTCCCATCAATATTGTTTATAATGCTGCTGTCTGAGAGGGAACCAGCCTTGGGTTTCTTCTTCACCCAGGGCGTGAGCTTCTCTCCACTTGTAGCCTTGCCTGTTGAAGCGGTGTGCGTCTTCTCTGCGGCAGCGTCAGTCTGCCTCCCTGTGGGGGGATGCAGCACTGACACATCAACAGGTGGCACACACCAGTTAAACTCGGCGGTTACACCGTCTTCAACAGCGCTGCACTGAGTCTCAGCGTCACATGTCACAGCAGCAGTTTGAGTTCCAGCGTCTCGAGTTTCATTGGCTCTTTTCTGGCATTTGCACATCTCGGAGCGCTGGGCTTGAGGGGAAGGAACTGGGAAAGATATGTTTTCCATAAGTGTCTGTTTATCTCTGAAGCTTTGGGGTTTCAGGAGCGGGGTGAGGGGGCGGGGCTTTGTGTGCCTTTGTTCTGGATTCCCCTGTGAGACCGGGTTTGGGTTTAAGCTTTCTGCACAACAGGCCGGGTCAATATACGAAGAGGAAGCCTGAAGATATGGCTGACAGCATTCTTCCCCCTAAAATACAATTAGAAAGGGAAACACAGCAGTCACATTATCCCTGGGTTAATCCAGTGCATCATGGGAAAAGCAATTAATCAGTGGCACTGGGCACAGAATATTTAGTTTTTTGTTATTAAAGTGATAACTATAGCTGACATGTGTTGCCTGGGGGATCCTTTGTATGCAAGTATTGCAATTGATTGTGTTGAATAATGATGATCTTATACACTGAACAAAAATATAAACGCAACACTTTTGTTTTTGCTCCCATTTTTCATGAGATGAACTCAAAGATCTAAAACATTTTCTACGTACACAAAATAACCATTTCTCTCAAATATTGTTCACAAATCTGAAAAAATCTGTGATAGTGAGCACTTCTCCTTTGCCGAGATAATCCATCCCACCTCACAGGTGTGGCATATCAAGATGCTGATTAGACAGCATGATTATTGCACAGGTGTGCCTTAGGCTGGCCACAATAAAAGGCCACTCTGAAACGTGCANNNNTATTAATTAATTAATTCTCAAACCTAGATGCCCTCTCCCATGCCAACTCCACCTACTACTCTCAGTTAATCCACTCTGGCCCCGGAAACCCCAAAACACTCTTCTCCACAATAAACAAACTCCTCTAGCCCCCCTGGACACCACCTCTCAGTCATTTGCAGTTGACAAATGCAGCTCTTTTCTCACATTTTTTCAAAGCAAAATAAACAACATTTACAGCAGCTTAACCCAGGGCCGTGGGAAGTAGGGGTGCTGAGGGTGCTGCAGCACCCCCTGGTGGAGGACAGGGGATCTGCACTTCCACAAGATTAAATACAAATATAATTAAAAAAAAAATGAATTTTCAGCCTTGACGTAACAACATTCATAATCAAGTAAAGATCACACCCTTTCCACCCCGGTTACATTTTCCANCTACTGTGAAAAGCCTTAAACCCAGGGCCGTGGGAAGTAGGGGTGCTGAGTTTGTGGAAGTGCATATCCCCTGTCCTCCACCAGGGGGTGCTGCAGCACCCTCAGCACCCCTACTTCCCACGGCCCTGGGTTTAAGGCTTTTCACAGTAGTAATCGTTCCGTTTCCTCTGGTCTTAGCACCGCCCCCTGCTGTGAGGAGGATCCAGGGTGTGTGAGAGCCTGGTGATTTACAGCTTTAACACCACCTGTGACTGCCTGTTTGCCCCAAACTGAGGATCATTTGGGGGTTGAGTCAGGGATGATCCACAACCGTATAGCTTCCAGGCTAATTCTGGTGTGCTGTCATAGCTTTCACTATAATTCATCTGGGTAATGATACAACTGTACTAAGTAAAGCAATCTCTGATATCTGGGAACACAGAGACTAAGAGCTGTAATGCCATCTGACGGGGCATGACACATTTGAAGTGTTTTAGTCACATTTTAGTGAAATTGATTATTATCTATGCCAGTCGTGAGCCTGCAGGGGATTGCGTGTGTGTGTCTCTCTCTGTGTGTCTCTCTCTCTCGGTGTGTCTCTCTCTCGGTGTGTCTCTCTCTCTATGTGTGTGTGTGTGTGTGGGTGTGTGTGTGTGTGTGTGTGTGTGTGTGTGTGTGTGTGTGTGTGTGTGTGTGTGTGTGTGTGTGTGTGTGTGTGTGTGTGTGTGTGTGTGTGTGTGTGTGTCCAGAGCTCATCATGCATACTTCTGAACCCAACAGCCTCATTCTTTTTGTGCCCATTCATGACTGTTTGCTCATGGATCTTTTGTGGTTGTGGTGACCTCCTTTACTTTCGGTTTTACACGGTCATTGACTGCTGACTCCTTGTTCTCTCAACCATTCAGTAGGCTAGATGACGCAATTGATCAAGAACTAGTTCAGTGGAAAAAGTTATTTCCCTGCAATCTGATAAAAAAAAACAAGTCTTACCTAGTCTGGTGCGGGCCACATTTAGGGCTTTAGCATGGCTCAAAGAAACTGACATGCATAGAAAGCTTTGGTCTCATTTTGAACCTGCACAGATACATTTGACACTTGATTTGTTTTAATCCGGTAAAATAAGGCATGATACGACATGGATAAAGCTGCTATTTGAATGTAATGAAGCCAGGAGAGTGAGACTTAACTCTTCTTTGTTTATGAGTGGAGAAAGCATTTCCACTGAGGGCATTTTTGAAGTTGTTGATCTGTTTTTATTCCACATAAAGTCTACAGCTGTCCCCCTCTGTGTGCAGTTATGATGGTTACAGGTGGAGGTATAATAGCTTACCTTCTGAGGGCTGGTCTGAGGGTTTTTCATGGTCCCATCTCTTTTTCCAACAGCTTTTTTATTGGGACATTCGATGCGTTTATCCTACGAGTCTGTGACCTTTTTCCTAACAAGACGTTAGCCAACATTGGAGGCAGAGACATAAAGTTGCCGAAATGCAATCCGCTATATTTTTAGGCTAACTATGTGATGACAAACTGCGGACGTTTCTTTCTGTGTCCTCTGTTTCGGGAGTGATATGTTTAAGAAAAACTACTTAAATGAACTTGTTGTGCTGCACTAAAACCAGGGACTGTGGGTTTGACTTAAATTGCAATAATAATATGTCAGCCAAGGATGATAAGTGGAAACCTCCTAAGCTTCACCTAGCAACAAAGTGCTTCCTGTTTTTCCTCTTGTAAAAGTGATGCAGAAACACGTTCTAGTAACTGGGCATATCGTGGGTGTGTGTGTGTGTGTGTGTTAATGGGTGTGAATGGGAACCAGGTGCTGCTGTGCTTCTGTGCTCATGCCTACGCAGGTTTGTTGTTGCACCGTCAGCTTTGTGTCTAGAGAAAACTTAACGAGCTCAGCAGGAGCCGAACATCAAACAAACACCCACTAATGTGAGCGTTTGGTCGGATAGGACGACAAATGGTTACGTCTTACCTTCGAGACAACTAGAGGTGGGAGAAGTACTCAGATCTTGTACTTGAGCAAAAGTAGAAGTACTCAGGTCTTGTACTTGAGTTAAAGTAGAAGTACTCAGATCTTGTACTTGAGCAAAAGTAGAAGTACTCAGATCTTGTACTTGAGTAAAAGTAGAAGTACTCAGATATTATAGGCTACTTGAGTAAAAGTAGAAGTACTCAGATCTTGTTCTTGAGTAAAAGTAGAAGTACTCAGATATTGTACTTGAGTAAAAGTAGAAGTACTCAGATCTTGTACTTGAGTAAAAGTAGAAGTACCAGATCTTG